TGGATAAATCATCTTCTTGTTACCGAAATCTCGCGACGATTCGATATTTAATTTAATCCCCCACCACAGAGCTCAACTTAGCTTGAACGGACTGTATTCTTCGTTAGAAAACTGCATGATTAACAAAACAACTAATCCAACAAAGCAACTTTTAAATTTGTAAACAATTTTTGTTGACTGTCACCAGGTGACAGTAAACTCACTTATTTCTAGGCTTACTGTAATTTATGAAATTAAATTGGTCGCATACAGAAACTTTAAAGTCTAATATTTCGGAAACAAAGCCAAAAATGTTATTTTACATTTTTTATCAAGAATATAAAACTGTATACATTTCTTAATTTTTCGCCTCGAGTTTTGAATCACCCTGTATATAATATAATTTAAAACAGACTTTTGATGCTTACGATATTTTGGCAAAAAGTCATCGATATAATAAACCAAAATACTCGTATATATTACTTGTGAATTCCACGAGTATTTTTTACGAGTACATTGAATTTGGTTTCTAAATACGAGTAATCCAAGTATTCCAAATGAAAAATATCTTATCGAAATATGCTGTATCACAGACTGTATAATATATTATATTATTTTATAATATATTGTATTATAAAAAGTGATATTCTGTAGTATTCTTCAGGTCCATAATATGTACTCTATTTCACACATGATCTGCAAAGAGGACTACTGTATACTTTTATTACCGAATGTTTGTTTAGTCTACAGTGTCTGTTATTCCGACCTTATCTTATACAGTATAAAGACTGTACTTGGCCAGCTTGTCAGACGGATTGGAAACTCATGTTTTAGATTTGTCGTGTTCAAAATTACAATTTGTTTTTATATTCTGGTCTTTGCAAATATTCTGGAATAAGTCAAAAAACTTTTGTAGAATTGTACTATTCATGTTAATTTATTTTTAGGCAACCTAAGGAACCACATATTTACGCACACAAACGAACGTCCATACAAGTGCGATATATGCGATAAAGGATTCAATCAGATGTCCAATTTAATGTGCCATAAATTAAAGGTGGGAAACTGACCTTCTCATTTAAAAACAAAACTATAATTTCCTGAAGTTTTTGAACGCTCTGACCTTAAGATTACTCGCGTTACTTTTTTGAGAAATTTTTTACCCAAAAATGTAAAAAGAGTTTTTAGATCTTTGTCGCCATGTCGTAAGGAGTGTGCTGAAGTAGCATAACCTAAAACATAGCAGAAAACCTAATTTTCACTTTTGGGTAATAAGTTTTTATACATCTAACGTGATGAAGTAATTCTAAGGTTAGATTCGGATTCAGCAGTATATGTTATGAATTACATTTTAGGCCCATCAAAGAGCCGATAAACCTAAATACGTTTGCCGAGTTTGTGGTCGAGATTTTCCTAAAAGAATGGCTTTAAGAAACCATGAACAATACCAACATGGTATTACCCAGGAACCCAAGGAGGAGCCAAACAGGTTTGTACTAAAGTTGAACCACCGCAAACGATCTTTATACCATTTTTAGTACTGTTACTACTCCAAAATATGACAGCGCAATAATAGTCGATCCAATAAAGACTGAAGCTATGCAACTGGCGATTGAATCGAACCAGACTCCATTCGCGCTCCTTCGACCTTTAACCGGAATTCCTGTTTTGGTTCGGGTGTTGCCTGCCGGCGATAAGCAAATGCTCGTTCCTGCTTCTGCAGACGATTTAAAGAAATACGGTCAAATTTCTATCACCAACGCGGAAAACCAGAAGGAACAAGAAAAGGAACCAGCGACTAGTAAAACTCTACATTTTATGATTTTAGCCCGTACGAGATTTGTTTATTTTTAACAAGCTATAAGAATATGTAGCTTGCTAAAAATGTGCAAATTACACACCAAAAACCATCACCAACACAATCCTTAAGGGCAAAATTAAGCCAATTTTCGTGGTCTATAATTTAATGTTTTTTAGCGAAAGACGACAAACCAAACGGTACCACTGTTCAGATAAAAATTCCAGTGGTGGCGACAGTTATTCAGCAAAGCGAACGCGGTGGACTTGTATCCACTTCAGTTGTAAGTCCAGGACCCAACAACAAATCCACTGGACTTCAAGATAACTACGTTTTCACTACCAATTTGGAAGAAGTTAACAACACAGGTATTTTATTTATTAAATTCTTACCAAATTTCGACCATAAAATGAAAATAATATTATGAAATTGTGTCAGAAAGGTTAGGAGCTTAATTGCCTTGAGATTGTGGAACGTTTAACAGAGTGCGATTCATCTGTTGCATTTTGAAAATAAATAACTGATGTGCAAAATTAAAGCACCACTTTTTTAAAGATCTATAAGTAAATTTAAACTTTAAAGTTCTCTTTTGGATATGTTGTTGCCTTAAGTTTGCCAAAGGGCTTTAAAATGGGTGCAGTAGTTTCAGAAATACGCCCTTCAAACTACCCCCATGTCAAAAAGTAGGTTTGAATATTTTTTATAATATAAACAGGTTACTTTTTTTCTGAAAGAACGGTTCAAACGTTGAGTAAATGGTTCAAACGTGTATTAGAAAGGTCGGTCAATATTTTGTATGTCCTTTATATATATAAGGATAGGGAAGATAAAAGCTAATGTTATGGTAAAGCATAAAAAATTACTGCGGTCCGACGCTGTGGGTACCTACTTCAGAAACATAAGTATATTCCGGGGAGCTAGGGGAAAAAACGTGGTTGTTAAATACTATAGTATTTACCATAACATTAGCTTTTATCTTCCCTATCCTTACTCTTCAAGCGGCCTCTCCATTTTACCTCGTTCTTGTTCAATTTAGGTAATGGGGTAAGGTAAGTCTTTTTTATACAAAATTATTACTTGTTGGTGTAGAGGTGTCTAGCAGAACCTTTTCTGTATATAAGTAACTCACTTTCTACCACCTCCAGGCTCAAAAATTATTTTTTTAATATCCAGAGACAAATACCTAAAGAAGTAAAAATCGTTTTTTACTGTGATCACTTTGGCAGAAAGGTTAACTAACATAGCATTTAAAAGATTTATTCCAAAAGACCACATTATCACCTTTTAAAGCTCTTAAGCTAACTTAAATATTTCAAATTAAAGTCAAAAATTGTTTGCCATAATAGGTTACCTATCCTTTAGGCGCTAAGCTAGACCCTATAGGTACTATAGTAAAAATAGAATAAAAATGAACTCATACAAATTAGGCTTTGCGATTTTGGAAAAGTTGGCTTATAAACTATTATAGCTATCATAATAAAGGATACTTACTTACCTTAAGATATTTGTACATTGAAATGCTTATAACCTAACTTTAATAATAAACCCGGAACTTCAAATATCGCACCCGTTACATTTTGAGAAAATTTAAAAAAATAAAGTATGCAATATTTGTGCATTTAAAATACATGCTTGTTTAAGTTTACTTTCCAAGTTTTACACACAACATTATTACTATATATTTTCATCCAAAATTTTACAGGATCAACTTTGGAAGCCAAATTGGTCTCAATTGCCGATTTTCTAATGTCGCGCTCGTTACGCAATTCATGACGTTATAAAAGGTTTTCTATACAAGTTTTATTGACATTTTGTTTGAGTTAAATATCTAATTTTTTATACTATTTTTTATATTAACGTATCTTGATATATCTGGAAAAACACTTCATTATCATAAAAAACGCAGCGTCAGTGTCGCACCCGTTACAATGGTATGCCAAAGCCGGGTATTTTAAATAGTTAAGTCAGCTTAAGAGCTTTACAATGTGGTAACGTGGTCTGGTGGGGTGGATCTTTTCAGTGAAAAGCAGTGTCTACTTCTTTTACATGTCTTTTTCTCTGAGTGTTAAAGAGGAAATAATTGAGCCTATAAGCTCTATAGAGATAGTAGAAAGCACATATATGTGCTATAAGTTACTCATAAACAGAAAAGGTTCTGATAGCCCCCCCTACACCAACATGTAAACATTTTGTATAAAAAAAACTTCCTTGTGACTTAAATTGAGGTGGACAAGAACGAGGTTAAATGAAAGAGGCCGAGTATAACGGGTAATGTTATGGTAGAGTATAGAAAATTACAAAAAATGTCAACTGAAAGGTCAGAAGCATACTTGTATTGTAAAACACCTAAGGACATATAAAATTTGGCATATCTTTCTAATAAAAAATTAAACTTTTTTGGAGCATAAGAGGTAGTTTGAAGGGCGTATTTCTGAAACTACAGCACCCATGTTGACGCCCTTTGGCTAACAAGTTTGCAAACTATAGGCTACAATATATCCAAAGGATGACTTTCTGGATTGTTTTACTCAAATTTTAAGGATCATTGAAATAGTTGATTTAATTTTGCACATCAGTTTAAATCCTAAATATTGTTTTAGTAAATATGTCTGAAGTTTCCTTTGATCCTAATACCATAACTCCAGAAATGATGCATGATGTAGAAATGGAGTTTTTAAATCAACAAAACAATGAGTTTAATACTATTGATTGTAAGTATACTGAACATAACATAATACAAATATATTATTGTTTTTTAGTAGATTCCAACATAAGCTCTTCCGAGACCAACCAGAATTTGGAGGTAATCAATAATACTTTTTTGATTGCGGTTTTTAAAATATTTTGTTTTAGAATGAAGAACTGAATACTGAAGATATGCCTTTTATTATCCTTTAACTTAAGTTATATAAATTTATATTTTAATGGTTGCATTTATTTATAAAATTGCCTGTGTCATTGCTTTTAATTGTTTGTTTTGATAAATTTTAATATAGTTACATGTATTTATAAGAGTATAATTAAATGTTATAAGAAACAATAGATATTTTTTGGGGTTCCCTATTAATATTAAGCGATAGATTTTTAATTAATAAGTTTTTTTTAAATATTTAAATAACCTTAGGTCATTACACTTTTTAGTCACAAATTATCTTGACCTTGAATAACAGCGGATCTAGATTTCACTAAACTGTTAACTTGTTGTTTGTTGTGCAGTTGATTTTCTTAATTCATTCGAGTAGTTTGAGACATTCGGTCAGAATGAAATGGTCAATGAAAAAAACGATTCTGCCGATTTTGACCTTTGTCATTGCAATAGTGAGTGGCCAATACGAAGTGCCAGACGCTACGGTCGAAGTTTATTCACCCAGAGGATTAAAAGTATCAATACCAGGTAAGTTAAGTACTTTAATGAAGGCTTTAAAATAAATAAATATTACATTTTGATTACATTTTCAAGGTGGGAAAAATTCGGTGGAGGAAGTTATTTTGATACAAAATATTTTTTTTTTCTGAAGTATACTTTTTGAGATTTTGAGCAACACTTTTAATAGCGGTTGTTATGGACACAATGTTAAAAATGGGGTTTAAAAATTTAATTAGAAATACCTTCCAAAAATTTTTGTATGTTCTGGGAATTTATGTCAAATATACTGAACTTTTACCAAAAATGTTTGTTGAGTAATTATGTTACGATTATTATAGCAATTATTGTTTACTGAAACTAAAAATAAACATACATTAAAGTCGTCATAATGAAAATTATAAACATTCTAAGAAATTCAGTTCTTGGTTTATTTTGAAAATAAGATGAATAATAAACACTTTCAAGGATATTTTTATAAAACTAGCTAGGTATATAAAAATAAAAATATTAGATACAATTAAAATTCATTTCGTGTCTATCCTATTTTATTTAGGGATGTATCGATACAGTAAGTATCGGCCGATACCGATACCAACAGCTTATTAGGTAATAAGTACCTAAATAAGTATTCACGAAATTTTTGTATAACTCACATAGATGTTTTTTTTAGGTCTAAGACCTAAGACCGTCTTATATAATAATAATAATAATAACCTTTATTAACGGCAAAAATTACCAAAAAAATACAAAACATGGAAAAAAATAACCATAAAGATAATAAATATAAAATGTATAACTACATATAATACAATGTTAAAATATTAAAAAAATTTGGTAACAATAATTAGAATCTACCTAAGAAGATATAACAAATAAAAATCATAGTCATGTTGGAACAAGTTTTTGTCTTAAATGTTTCCTAAAGTAGCACATCGAAATACTTAATGTCAAAATTATTAGCAGTTCTACAAATTCTGTCTATTGGTGAAAAATATCCATTGTAGAATGTCTTTGTACTTAATTTAAAAAAAGGACAATAAAATAATAAGAGTTTTAAATTGAACTTAATAACTATTATTTATTATAAATAATTTATAACAATTATTATTACAGTCAAAATTTTCATTTTACAACCATTTTTATTAATAATAATAAATATTTAAGATTTTCATTTAGAAAACAAAGTTTATTTAAATTTTTTGCAAATAATCTGTTGCACAAATTGTTTTGTAAGACCTGCAGTTAAAAAAAAACCATTATTGTGTAGTAATCACTCATAATTGGTAACAATAAATAAAAGCCAAGCTAATTTTTTTAAAATTAATGTTTGCGATTTTAATAAATAATACATTATAGCAAACATTTTCATTCCATCAACATATCTGTTATTTTTTCTTTAGATGAAGAGGGCGTTAAATTGTTTGCCTTTCATGGCAAAATCAACGAAGAAATGAACGGTAGAGAAGGTGGAACCTTTTCCAGAGATATTTTAAAGCCAAAAGATGGCAAATGGACTTTCTATGACCCCACAGCTAAACTTAATATCGGGGACAAACTTTACTATTGGACTTACGTTGATTTTTTCGACGGCGAACGAAAATTGGGATACCCGAAAGACGACCAGTTCCACGAAGTAAAAGGTGATTAATTTAAATAATTTTATTATTCAAATTTTAATAATTTGCCACTATTTTTATAGAATTCCAAGTTAAACCAGGTGAATGTAAACAATCTCAGACAACACAAAATGGTAAATCTGACAAGATTTGCAGTGGTAAATTAATTTTTGAGGAACATTTCAAAACGTTTAATCCTGCCTTATGGAGTCCTGAGGTTAAATTTGCTGATGCTCCAGTATGTTTGTTTTCTTTACACTAATTTGGATTACTAATTTTAATAATATTTTTTAAGGATTATGAATTTGTAATTTATGGTAATTACTCAGAAACAATGAAATTTACAAATGATAAACTAGGCATTAAGCCAACACTAGCTGAAGATGTGTATGGACGCGACATCGTGTTTTCTAGTTTAGATTTAGGTGCAAGGTAAATATCCTGAAAGGAGATATTTTTTAAAACGTCATTACCATAGACCATTGTCTATTACTCTTTAAATATTTATAACTTAGGCGTATACGCCTATACATATACAGGGTGTTATGTAATTAATGTTATATATTAAAATACTGAATACCTTTTGACATAAGGTGTAATGGAAAAATATTTTAAAAGATATTTTCCCAAAGATAAAGAAAATATATGCATTAGAAGTTTTTTATATTTTTTGTGATACGCCACTGGTTACACACTTGTGTTCTGTGAGTACATAGATACAAACCAACAAAAAGCTGCGCGTTGCCAGTTGTAAAAAATTGTTACTAAAAAATTTTCTTGCATAAAATAAATAAATACAAAAGTTTTAAGCCCTTAAAGTTCTAATACCATTCTGTATTTATTTACTCATCCAGCTATTAACTTAAGCAATGATAAGAAAAATTAGTACCTATTTAAAAACTCCATAAAATTAATTTTTTCATCGGTTTTTTTCTTTCTGTTTACTCAGATGAAATTAGGACAAGTTCGATTAACCGTTAAACATTCAATTTGTGTAAATAAATCCAAACGCCCAAAAGCACTTCCCTTAGTTAAGATATTTACGATTTGAGCACATAACCTACAATTTTTGACAGAATGTGTTACCAACCAACATAATAAATTAAACCAGATTAACTTAAAGTAAAGTAAATCATTACGAATTATGAATAAAGTTTAAGTCTGGTGTGTCTAAATTTAAATATATTTTTTATAAGTATGTTTTTAAATCGCAATGTTAAAACGATTTTTAAAAAATCATTAGTTTACAAATTTTTACAAGGTCTAATTAGTGATCTAGCGATTTCAGGTTTTTATTTTTTTCAAGTTTTTTCAGGTTTTTATTCTTTTATAAATATTTTGAAAGTTTGAAAATTTCTATTTTATTAGTAATAATAATAAGTAATTAGTGCGAAAGATTTTATGCTATGGCGGGTCGGGCGCTCACAAATATTCAATTAACAAATATGGTTTTGTGTTACGGGGAAGCGATGCAAAATGCTTGTCAAGCAAGAATTTTGTAGGTAGGTAAGTAGGTATATTCAAAATTATCACAACGCCAATCACGGGGTCGGGCTCAGGGACGTGAATTTGTGGCCCTTGAAGAACAAATTTTGGACGAAGTGGAAGCATATCCGAGAATTAGTACAAGACGATTAACTGCCCAACTTGGACAAATGTCCAACTTTGTTACGTGGCGCACGATTCACGAAAATAGTTTGTACCCCTATCACCTACAAAAAGTTCAAGCTCTTCAGGATGGAGATTATGCACTGCGGTTGGAATTTTGCCATTGGTATATACAGAAAAATCAAGAAGATGCTGATTGGAGCCATAGTGTTTTGTATACCGATGAGGCCACATTTACGAGAGACGGGATTTGGGCAGCAACTCAGGAACTTAATTGTAAATAGTCCAGACATTTTTACGCGGGTGCGCGAAAGCATGCTTCGCAGAGTTTAAACTTGCCTTCTAAATAATTAAATCATTTTGAACATCTCAAATAAGGTAATACATTTTTAATTTTACATTTGGCAACACTGCATTAAAAAGTAATAGGTAAGGTTAATCCGCGGTTCCTAGTCGATCAGTGGCGTACTTTTTGGTAGGATAAAGGTTATTATAAATTATTTTTAGTCTTTGGAATTTAGAAAAAAAAAGTTTCAGGTGCTTCTTTATGGACCCTAAGGAACTACCCATTTTAATATATAACATTAATTACATAACACCCTGTATGTTTAAACTTTTGTTTTTGAACAAATATTTTTGGAATTTACAAAGTTTTTTTTAATATAGTGCACGTTTTGTTATTTATTTATTATTGTTTAACCGATATCGACAAACAACCGTGCGTTAGAAATATAACATTAGTCAACTTGAATTTTGCGTCTGACTCTGCTAAAAGAAACTAATTAAAACTATTTTTATCATATTTTGATCAGATATCTAAGTGCATCATAAAAACATTATTAAAGTTCCATCATATTTGATCATATTTAATCAGATTTCCTAGTGGATCATGTTAGATCAACAAAACATAATCGAATTTCAATCTCATTTTGTAAGTTTTAATAATATACCTAGTATACTTTGTTCCTTACTTCTATACTGATTATAATTGATTTATTGGACATTTACTACGTAGTACTTGTACTATGCTCCACACCACGTGACTGATAGAAATAATTAAGGTTAATTTTCTGTCAGTGTCAAGCTAATTTTGTCCTATACGCTAAAGAAGTATCGGGTTTACGCAACGCGCGTGCCATCTGGTGGACTTCGAATGCATTGCGTGAATTTAAGAATTGTCAACAATACATTTAAAGCACAGATTAAACATCATTTTTAAATAAATAGGTAGTTTTTTTACAAAAGAGAGGAAAGCAGAAGTATTACTCGACAAATTTTGTTCAGCTAAATCGCGCACGTTATTTGTGTTTTAAGTTGCATGGAGAAAATTAAACAACTTTTTTAGTACTCGATTTAGATTGATTATTCCTTATATCATTGATTAAGAAACTCAACGCTTATATATAAGTATATATATATATATATATATATATATATATAAGCTATATATAGTTACGTTAGTGTGTGTATATCAAAGGGATCATGGTGAATTATTGTGTTTTTAATTGTAAATAAAATTCAAGAACTAAATCGTTGCATGCATTTCCATGTTTTGCCAAAGGATCCAATTCAGTAAGTACATTTGTTGGTGCAGAATTAACTAATGATAACTTTACCTAATATAATTTATATTTAAGTTTGGACATTTTTAAGAAATTAGTAAAAAATAATTTTTGCACAAACATAACCTTTAAATCAACCATTTTAATGTTTGAATTCTCTAAAAAACGCCGACAACTGCATTTTAAACAACAAAATATACCTACGAATTCATGGCAACATAATATTATATATAATACATAATATAATGGTATTTTACCGTTGAGTGGAGACTTTCTTAATGAACGCTTTTAATAATGCTAAATTCTGTTTAAATTTAGACGACTTATTTGTTTGACGATTTTTACTGAATTGAAATGTTTACACTTTTCACGTTAATCACTATTAAAATGTGTATTTATTGTATCTAATAGGTACAATTTATATTTACAGAGACTGTATGCAATTTATTCCTTCATTCAGTTTAACACTGTTTATTGGTAAACCGGTAAAAACTCAACACAGGATTTCCTTTCGAAATACACCCAACAACACAACAAATCGAGCCACGGTTTTTTTTCTCGATATTTTTAAACATTTTCCGGCTTTATTCTCAAAAACACTCGTTTTTAACATAAGCGTTTGACAGCTGATTATTAAAAGTTATACTTTTGTTACGATGATAACAACCGAGTGGTGGCGCTACTAGCGATACATCATTAGCCTATTTTCTGAAAATAATGCAATATATAAAGGTTTTTTTTAATTTTCTCAAAACGTAAAAATTGTACGGGTTTTGTATTTCAATTAATGCAAACATTTAAACAAGTATCCAGATGTATATAGCAAAAACTTAAGTTAAACTCCACTTTTTTTTGCACTTGTACCCTTTTGCTTCTTACCCCTTCATATGTATTTTTTGTGTATAAAGGTCTTAATTTAAAATACAAAATACATATTTTGTATTATTTTTAGTAAAGACAAAATTAGCTTGACACAAAACCTTAATATTTTCTATCAAAGTCACGTGGTGGGACTTTGATGTGTGAAGCATCGCATGAAGGAAGATTGTACCTACATCTCAATGTACTATGCTCCACACATTAAAGTCTCACCACGTGACATTGACATAAATAATTAATGTTAATTTTCTGTTTTCGTCTTATTTTCTAAAAATAATACAAAATATATGAGTATGAGTATAAGAGACGTATAACCAGCCCCATTTCCTCTTGACTCTCAAACCCCGTACAGGCCTATGTTTACTTACGCCGATTTTTGTTCTTCCCCAGCAACTGCACGGCTTCACCCGTGTTTGCTGGGTGCGAATGTCCATTGCGTTCCGTACTGTCCCCTATTTGGGGCTCGAGAGCGAGAGGCGAATAGTTATAATAGCCGTTCCCGGGTTCGCCGGGCCTATGCTATACGCTCAGTGAGGTATGGATGAGGGACGGGAGGGAGTTGGATTTTGGGGGACAATTACGCCGACTTAAAACTAAGTACGACGCGGAATCCCCCTAGACCAGTCGGTTAGTATTACTCCAAACATTTGGGATTACTATTTGGAGTTGGGGAGTTGTTATTACGCTGCAGGGGTGTAGTTTCCTAGTCGAGGTCTTCGTCTTGTTCATTATTGTCATTATCCGTGTCGGATAGTTCCTGAACTTGGTAAAGTGTGTCGGTTGTTTTTTTTTATTTTTTTATTTTTTTTTTATTGTTGTTTAGTTGCTCCCAACTGGTCTTGTTACTTTGTGAGAAGTGCATGTATTGTGCTACGTGTCATGAAATGTGAAGCATGGTCTACCGATTTTTTTGTCTTTAAGATCTAGTTTAGGGTGGCTTGTAGTATGTTGTTGCGTTGTCTACGAGTGACGTGGGCCCAGTGTTTACTTGGGCTACTCTTACCCTTTTGGTAATGGTTTTTCCCATTGGTACGATAATCGGCACACATGATAAACTCCCCCGCAAAGAAATACAACCCCCCGCGGCCCCCCCGGAAGACAATCCACACAACGGCAATCGTACTACGACTACCGCCGTGTAGACCATCCCCCGTATAGGCCACGGGAGGCTGCACCCCCCGCGGAGGAGCCCATCACTCGTGCCGAGCGTAAGGCCGCAATCGCTGCGATAAGGCAGTTCCCAGTGGGGGGTATTTTTTTTACTTTTACAAATTTTATAATTTTCTAAAAATTCGATTCTTTCTCTTTCACTTTTTTTTTGATTAAATTATAATAATTATTGTTACATAATTATTACAATTATTGTAACTTAATTTCCGAAAATTCGATATTTTGTTACCCAATTCGATAATTTCAACTTTTACATCTGGCAACACTGCTATTCACACACAACTTGTTTATGTTATTTTTTGTCTTCTTTTTCGATGGTTGTTTATGTTTGTCTGCTATGAGAAAATGAGGTTGTTTGTTTAAACTTAAGGAAATGTTCTTATTCTTTTTTAATTTAGTTTTTGAGACAATAAAAGAATTCTTAGTATTTTCTTTTTGCAACATTGTGAAATGCTTATATAAACATTGTGAAATGCTTTGATAAACATTTAGCGAATATACGGTAAGACATGCAATTGGAAAAAATAACTTAGCTTGATTATTTGGTGCTGGAAGTGATCGTCTCTCTCACACCTTTTAACCAGGTCCAACACTTGAGGATTTAATCCACGGGGAGGTACCACACACAATTTGCACTCTTTTGCACTTGGGGCAGTTATCACGTTTAGAATCGATTGATTTTTTATTATTTTACGGCGTTAACCAGTTATCACGTTACTACGTTTGTATCGTATACGCTGCTTAAGAGAGATCGATGAGCATATGCTTACACTTCAAGCGTCAAGAGCAGACTGTCTAAAAATAATACAATATATATATATATATATTTTTGTGTTCTAAATTAAGACCTTTAGACACAAAAAATACATGTAATACATTATTTTTAGAAAATAGAAATTAACCTTAATTATTTCAATCAAAGTCACGAGGTGGGACTTTAATTTGTGGAGCATATACCCTTGAGTGAATCAATTAATGATAGTACATTGTATATGGTACAGTATTCTCTGTTATAAGGAATACATATTTTAATTAATTAAGATAAAGCATATTTTTTTAGTTGCACAGATAAATCCAGTCCATGCTATAGAAAAGCACAAGGCCAATTTATAGTTCCTCCAGTAATATCATCACAAATTAATACCAAAGATAAGTTTTCCTTCAAGTATGGAAAAATTGAAGTAAGAGCAAAACTGCCAAAAGGAAATTGGATATATCCAGGTAAATTTAATATTATTTTTTATCTAATTTAAAATACAAATGTTGAAAATGCTCTAAAAATACTACATTTTTAGAAATATTTTTGAATCCCGCTACGGAGGAATACGGTGCAGATTATTTATCCGGACAAATAAGAGTTGCCTTTGCGACTGGAAATATGCCAACAAAACTTCAAGGTGGAGTAATTTTTAGCGAAAATGAGAAAGGAAGAAGTTATGGAATAAAAACTAAAAAAAATCATAAAAGAACAGTCCACAATTATGGAGTAACTTGGACACCGGGTAGGTACTATAATTTGCAGAATAAGTGATTTTTAAATTATAATGTTTTTGCAGATAAAATTACTTTTACACTGGATAATGAAGCTTATGGAGAAGTTATACCACCAAATGATGGATTTGCGGGTATAACGGGAATTTTGCCAAATAAATATAAAGAAATTTGGGAGGAGGGATCTAAAATTGCTCCATTTGATCAAGAGGTAATAATTTTCAAGAGAAATGTTCAAATGTTCCTTCCTTCTATCTGGCGGAACCAATGCAGAGAACAAAAATACTGCACTTGACTTTTTGTTTATGTTAACGTCTATTGCGTATCTCGGCTGTTTGTTTCGTTTTTAATTTGTCTGTGTTTAGTTTTGCTTGTGTATGTTTTGTACCGATTTATATTACGAATAATTACGTTTGCTATCCTGTGGGAATTCTCTTTTTCATGTTTGGCTGTTTTTTTTTTTCCTGGATTAGATTAACCTCTTCGAGAAAATGCAAGATTACTTTCTTAGTAGAGAATGCAAGTTAAATCATGCGGATTAAAGCTATTAAACTTATCTTCTGTTGCTACTGTCCACTTGTCCACTCTTTGGTTCCTTCGGGAGACTGGTACATTGATTTCACTGCACTTCTGTATAAGCACTTTGCTGATTCTGTAAGACATCAGGAGACAGCTACCTTGATTTACCAGCACACGTAGTGGCCCAGGGCTCTAATTTCACACTGTCTTGCCTAACAAACTTAACTATACTGCAGTATAGTTAAGTTTGTATGCAACCAATTTATTGTTCCTGATAAGCTTTTACTACTTCCTTAATCTTTAGAAGCGATCGCTTACGCGTCTGTAGAGTTCTATAAACCTCGCTATATAAATTTTATTTGATTAAAACCTTGTGGCAGCATTATTTTTCAAACTATGTTTAATTTTGTCAGTTGATAAAAGTGCAGATACGCAGTCCAGCAGATCACCATGGTAGCACGGCGAGATTTGACATTGTTCATTGTCGATTTTTTAAACAACATTAATAGATTAATAACCTCTGGCAACATTATTATTTAATTGAAAGTAGGTATAAATGGCAGATGCTAGAGCGCTTTGCAAAGCGCTCATAAATGCTCATAAGCGCTCATAAATGCTCGAGCATTCATAAACGATGAAATATAAATTTTATAAAAAAATTATTGAAAAAAAATTCCAACAAAATAAAGGTAAGTAAACCATTATGGAATTGGATACACCTGCACCACTCTTGTGACCTGCACATGTTCTGATGTAAACAATAGTTACATAGAAATAATACTAATAATTATAATAATATTATTTCTATGAGTAGTTATTTGTTGGTTAATTTAATACCCGCTTTTTAGTTTTGGCGCCGAATTCACTTTGGTAAATGCTCGAACATTTATTTATAAGCGCTCGAGCATTTATGAGCACTTATGAGCGCTTTTGAAAGTGTACAACTTCATCCTTCTCTATAAAAAACTAATCCATAAAATTTATAATACATAACTTATCATTTTTAGATGTATTTTACCATTGGTGTTGGAGTTGGTGGTCATAACTTCCCAGATTCTGACAATACTAAACCATGGAAAAACTCGAATGCAACTCAAGCCAGAGATTTCTATCAAAATTTAACAACGTGGTATGAAACATGGACTCCACAGAGCACACTGGAGGTCGATCATATTAAAGTTTGGGCTCTGTAATAAGCTTGTGATATTTTTTTATATTATTTTATTTATCTCACCAAATATATATTATTTTAATACTTATTTTATTTTCATTTTTAAATAAAAACTTTTTATTACACTATGATAGTTTTACAAACTTTTTTTTCCTAATATTAAGTACTCCAGCTTAGTTAAACTAATTTTGGGCCGCTGATTTCAAAAATGTCATTAGTTTTTCTCTAGGACGTCTAGGATTTAAAATAATTTCGTAATAAAATGCTCTGCTCAATCACCTTAAAATGTAAGTTTTTTGTTGGTATTTTAATTATTTATTAAATTATTTTGGCTTAAATTTTGAATTTACTAAATTAATTGGTATACGGCAAATAGATCATATTTATCTTAACAATATGAAATTTTAAATACTAAAACTAAAATTTTAATGTATTTTATGTAAAAAAACAACCATTATTTGACATTTTTTGTTGTTTATTTTACTTATTAATTTGAAAAGGGCAACAAAGTAAACAAGTTTCAGTATTTTTTATCCAAATTAAGCCCTCAAAATTTAATGCATAGCATAATTTTGCTTTTTTCTACTTTAAATTTATTAAATCGTATCAAATATCAAAATGGATTATAGTATTATTGTGCTTAATCCTCATCATCGTCGTACATCTTTTGCTGCAAATTAAAGCAAATGTCTCCTACTAGGAGACTCCTAGCAATGAATCCAACTTCTTTCCGCTATACCCATAGATATCTACCAATGCTCTAGATTTGCAGTTACTTTGTGAAATCGTTCACCATGTTCATCAGTTCGGCAAATTTATCAGGATGAAAAAAAAAAGTATTTTAAATGACATATTAACGCTAGTTCTTTGCAAAACGCATTTTTTCAATGAATTGGCGCCAATTTTAGGCCCGATATGAACCAAGAACATTTTCAATGATAGCTTTAACGCTTTGAGAGCATTTTTGAATGCTTGATCTTTCATTAAACGTCGTATATCAGGTCCATTTAATATGTCTGCAAAATTAAAACAGTAGGTATATCTTGTAATGAAACATTGCGTTGGTTTTTCTTGGGCGTAAAGGTACCGCAACAAAAACAACAAATTTACAACGACGACATAAATGGTCGTCTCCTTTCTCTTTCTCTGTCACTTCCATTACCACTTCCATTTCCTGCTCTTTTTTAATTTTTGGTTCTTAAAATCACTTTCAAGTAAAAATACAATTTAAAGTTCAAATTTTAAATGTCAATAATTAAAATTAGTGTGCTTGAACGATAAAGTAGATAAAGGCGCCTTTATACTTCAATTCGATACTAAATTTTGATAAGACTTTATAAATAAGATTCGAGATTAAATTTTTGGTTACTTTAGGCATGATGTAAATAAAAACATATAAAATAATAGTCGAAGAGCAATGCTTATACCGAAACCCATTTACTTTGTTGCCTTTTCAATTTAATTAGTAATTAAAACAACAACACAAAAATTTCAAAAAATGATACTTTTTATCAAAAAAAACATTATAATTTTAGTTTTGGTATTTAATAAAGCACTTCTCTGCAGAAAAGTGCTTCATTAAATATCCCTTATATTATACTACTACACCGAGAAAAATCTGAGATTTATAATTAACCAACGACTGTTTTCACGAATAATATTAATAAATAAATCAACTTGGGTATTATTAACAATAGCGTGTTTGTATAAAGTAAATTAGCATTTACAGATTAACAATAAATATATGGATAGGATTAATGCTAACACAGCGTTTCTTATAAAAAAAAATATTTATATATTAATAGTTAATCAACATTGCGTTACTGTCAACCTGTAATTGTTTAAAATATCGGAAGTATATAATGCATTTAATTTAAACCATTTTTATTAATAATAAATAAATTTGTTCTCCCCCCAGGCCACTCGCGCAGCGGAAGCTTTGTTTTGTCGGCCATTGATAAAAAAGGTGCATCTTGTTCTGTGATTTTGTTCTGTGGAAGGTGTGTGGGTGTAATAAAAGCGTGTAATTGCATCAGATGTAGTTTACTTGTTGGGAATCGTATTAAGTAGCTCTCATAAATGGTATACCCTCAACAGGTGCAATGCACTAAGAAATAATGGAAGAATTAACGATCTTTTTAAGTGACATAGGTTTGCCCTCCCTATTCCCGGTTTTTGTTGGTAAGTAAAGTTATAGCTACTTTATCACAGTGGCGGCTGGTGGATTTTTTGTATACCAATATCTCAGTTATTAGACATGGGACCCACACCAAATTTATAATAGTTTATAATGACATTAAATAGACAAGTTCGGCGCAAACAGAATTTAAATTGAAGTTTGCGAAAAAAAATTAGTTTTTCCTGTCGCCTCTCCCGCCTCCAGGCCCCCCTATTTAAAAAAAAATTATTAAATATAAAATTTTAAGTTTTTCGATAAATTATAGTAGATAATAAATTGCACCACTTTAATTTGAATTATCTTAAATAGGGGGGCCTGGAGGCGGGTGAGGCGACAGGAAAAACTAACTTTTTTTCGCAAACTTCAATTTAAATTCTGTTTGCGCCGAACTTGTCTATTTAATGTCATTATAAACTATTACAAATTTGGTGTGGGTCCCATGTCTAATAACTGAAATATTGGTATACCCAAAATCCACCAGCCGCCACTGCTTTATCATTTCATTATGATGGCTTGGCCTAATTTCCTCGATGTTTTGTGCCTAAAGTAATCAAATAAATCCAAATCTTGTTTTCATTGCCTGTCTTTAGCTATTGCTTGTAATTATTTTTAACGTACGTATATTTATTATTAACACACTGTTTTAAATAGTAATAAAAATGCATACCCACGCTATAGCTATAGTTAATGTTTAACTTCTTCCTTTCTTATCATATAGAGAACTGCATTGAGGAATTAAGTAGTCTGCAACAATTGGTACTTCACGAGGAGGAAAGTTTCAAGGTGTTATGTCCAATTATTGGACATAGATTAAAAATTAAATTAAATACTTATTTTTTTATATTTTTATAAATATATGTATTTTATTATACTTACCTGCTTTTATTTTCCATTTACGTGGGGAGGGGGGTTCTTTAATACCTATACTAATAAATAATATATAGATTGAGTAAATGCAAATAAAGAAATTTGTTATTTAAAAAGTAATCCTACGTTTAATAATAACATAGTTGGTTCACTACAAAAATAACATTGGTTAAATATAAATACATAGGGTTATTCCTAAACCATAATCTATTTATAACTTTTTAACAAATGATAGAGTGATATAAAACCAATATTTGTTACGTCGGTTTATCAATCATTTTTTTATTACTAAATAACCATTTTGGTTATTATTAAACCAACCTTTCTCTCGGTGTATAGTGTACGGCTACAATGGAACACACAAAATTTCTATTTGACATTTATCTACCGATGATTTTGTATGGAGTCCCTGTATATTTTTGAAAAAAAAAACGTCAAAAATATACTGAACATCCAAAATAGATTTAAGGCAAAATAATTTATTAAATAATCAAAATATTAACAAAAAACGTACTTTTTGAGATAATTGGGCAGAACATTTTATTACGCAATAATTTCGAATCCTAGACGTTCTGAAGCAAAACGAGTGGCATTTTTGAAATCAGCAGCCCAAAATTTGGTAATATAGGTGGGCGTACTCAATGTTAGTAAATCGAACTATCATAGTGTTATTCGTTAGTTTTTCTATAAAATATAAATGCACGGAGAGAAATGTATAGTAAATTTTAGATAGTTAAAAAAATATATTAAAATTTACTTTAAAAAATGTTTAGTTTAATAATATTAAATATTCGTCAGTAAAATATAAAGATTGTAATACGAAATAGTATTTTTTATTATACAATTTTAGTAAAGATTACAACACCAATATTATTAGATCAAAAATGTATAATACGTATTTTAATTTTGAATATATTCGTATAGTAAATTGATTTTACTATCTACAAATAGTAATATTTACTATATGATTTAATTAAATGTATTATACAAAATAATAAAATACACTATTTAGTTTCTTATGGGTTACGTATCTATTATATTTATTTTTAAAATTTACTATCTAATTATAATAGGAATTAAAAACAAAATTGGTTGAGAATAATAACCTTAAGATTTAATATACATGGATATTTAAAAATTACTAAATATGCATAGTAACTGGCAATATACAAGATAGTTGTCCCAAATAGTAATATATAATATAGTAAAGGGTATTATAATTATGGTAATCAGTAATATACTTTTCTCTCCGTGTGTATTCAATAATAATTAAAAATATGTGAAGTAAACTTGCGGTTTTAAAGAAAACAAAACGTGATTATTATATTGGAATTTCCTTATTTCTTTATTTAATAAATAGATAAACTTTTGTGAATACAGTGGGCAAAGTTATAAAACAACTTTTATAAGGGACATAAATTGTCTACCTACTTATTGTTTGAAACTACTACAAAAAAATCTTTCAATCTGTTTTGATTTTCCAGTAAAATTACCGCAAAATTTTCCGAATAATACTTACAAAAATAAATTAGTAAACTCTTTCGTCTACTATATATACTATGTATATTGAATATATTCAAATCGATTAGCTTTAGTCGGCATTAGTCACCAGTACTGAAACTCTATTATTGGAATATGTTATAGAAACTTTAGAAAATACCGACTCCGGAAAAGTTGGGGGGTGTAACCCCCCACATCGCTGCTTCCCTGGGTAAAAATTTAAAAATATTTCTTTTTAAGTCAATTAATATTTTCGGCAGCAAATTAATGTGCACTGAATTAGAATAGTTAGTATTGTTTTCTGGAGTGTTTTTATACAATAAAGATAGGTCCATGGTTAAGAAAATGTTATAAATAGGTAATAATAAAACATAAATTTTAAATAACACAGATACAAATTACTACCATAAGATAATTTAATGGAAGATCCTTTCAAATATACTTATATTTTTAGTCCTGTGGTATATGCATATATAAACTATACTGTGCTGCAATTAAAGCTTTAAAAATAAAGTTTAAAGTGTCATATTCTGTTCCTAAAATAAATAAAAATATATTTTAAAAGAAAAAATATGTTTTCTCCTTTTTGTTATTATCCAATCGAAAAATAATAATAAACCTGGTATCGGCCCACCGTGCGCAATTCCAATTATCATTTTAACCTGGCTATAAAAACTAAATGTGTAACACTTTTACTATTACTTACTTAAAACAAACGCACCAAGATGAGGATTGAAATATTTGTTGTAAGTTTGTTGGTCATATACGTAAATTCTTGTGGCCAAACGGCAACCAAAGTTGGTGGACCACAAGCACCCAAGCAAGTTTGTGCCGGACAATTGATTTTTGAAGATAACTTCGACTCTTTGAATCTCAACAAATGGCAACATGAAGTTACTTTAGGCGGAGGTGGTGTAAGTATTAAATATTTTTGTAAAAGTTTATATAAGTACATATAGTATATTAATAAAATGGTTATATATTTATTTTTGGTATAATTTCAAATATTTTTCTTTCAAAGTTAAGCAAAAATTGAATAAATAGTTTTAGGTACTCTATTTGAATTTAGTGAAAATTTAATTAATCTACTTTTCATACAAAAATTGATATTATTTGATATAATTTAAATAATTATTAGAATACACAAGTTAATTTTCATATCCTTGATAAATAACTATATTAATTGTTTCCCTGAAATAGTTTATTTATTTCAAACATGCAATAGGTATTCATCAACGTCAATGATAAGACAATTTACCGCATAAATAAATAACACTATGATAGTTTTAGAAACTTTTTTTTCTAACATTGAGTAGGTACTCCAGCTTAGTTTAACTAATTTTGGGCCGCTAATTTAAAAAATGTCATTTGTTTTTGTCTAGGACTTCTAGGATTTAACATAATTTCGTAATAAAATGCTTTGCTCAATCACCTCAAAAAGTAAGTTTTTTTGTTAGTATTTTAATTATTTATAAAATTATTTTGGCTTAAATTTATCTTGAATGTACTGAAGTAATTGGTATACGGCAAATAGATCATATTTATCTTAACAATATGAGATTTTAAATACTAAAACTAAGATTTTAATGTATTTTATGTAAAAAAAAACATTATTTGACATTTTAATTATTGAAAGGGCAACAAAGTTAATAAGTTTCGGTATTTTTTATCCAAATTAAGCCCACGAAATTGAATGCATTGCAAAATTTTGCTTTTTTCTACCTTAAATTTATTAAATCGTATTAAACATTAAATTGAATTACCTATGGTATTATTGTGCTTAATCCTCATCATCGTCGTACATCTTTTGCTGCAAATTCCAGCAAATGTCTCTTAGCAATGAATCCAACTTCTTTCCGCTATACCCATAGATATCTGCCAATGCTCTAGATTTGCAGTTACTTGGTGAAATCGTTCTCCATGTTCATCAGTTCGGCACATTTATCAGGATGAAAAAAAAGAAAATGTATTTTAAATGACATATTAACGCTTACGACATAAAGGTTCGTCTCCTTTCTCTGTCACTTCCATTACCATTTCCTGCTCTTTTTGCATTTTTGGTTTATAAAGTCACTTTCAAGTAAAAATACAATTTAAATTTTAAGTATTAAAAATTAATAGATGCACTTTTTAAAATGTGCCTTTATACTTCAATAATTGAAGTTCAATTCGATATTAAATTTTGATAAGACCTAATAAATAAGATTGGGAGATTAAATATTTGTTTACTTTAGTCATGATGTGAATAAAAAATATAAAATAATAGTCGAAGAGTTTATACCGAAACCCATTTACTTTGTTGCCTTTTCAATTTAATTAGTAATTAAAAAAACGACACAAAAATTTCAAAAAATACTTTTACCAAAAAAACATAATTTTAGTTTTGGTATTTTGGTATTTTCTGCAGAATAGTGCTTTATTAAATATACCTTATATATACGGCTACAATGAAACAAAAAATTTCTATTTGACATTTATCTACCGATGATTTTGTATGGAGTCCCTGTATATTTTTGACATAAAACGTCAAAAATATACTGAACATCCAAAATAGATTGAAGGCAAAATAATTTAATAAATAATCAAAATATTAACGAAAAACTTACATTTTGAGACAATTGGGCAGAGCACTTTATTACGCAATTATTTCGAATCCTAGATGTCCTGGAGTAAAACGAGTGGCATTTTTGAAATTAGCAGCCCAAAATTTGGTAATTTAGGTGGGCGTACTCAATGTTAGTAATTCGAACTATCATAGTGTAATTAAAACAACTAAACTAATCGAAAAAAGTTAAACATATTACGTTATTTTAGAATTAAATTATTATGTACTAAAAATGTTTAGATAAAAATAATTTAATCTTAAAATAACCTAATATGCTTAACTTTTCGATCAGTTTACTTTAAATTTTAATTTTAAAAACAATCGACGCACCATATGAGAAATTGTGCACTTTGGTCCGCAACCTCTTTATTTTGAAGATGTAGGGTGTTTAATATTGATTATTTCTCTCATTACAATATGAACCAATCAAAAGCCTTGAATTTTCGAATAAATTTCGTTTAATTAAGCGATTAAATCACTAGAACTATTTAACAGCGATTAAATTTTAGCCTCCATATTGGATTTTTGTTTACGATTTTATGGTGTTATTTACAAGTTATAAACAATCATTTTTTAAAAAACAATAAAAAATAAGTTATCTAGTTTACGAAATATCAATTATTGCATACCTTAAATTAATGGAATTTTCTTTAAACAAATATTTATAAATTTTGACACATACGAGTCATTCCACGTCAAACCGGACAAAAACAGGTGAAAATGACCTTGAGTTCTCTGATTTTAATATAAATTTTTTTACAGGTTCTTTGGAACAAATTAATATATAGAACATTTTTTTTTATTTTTATCACCCCTAGTTTAGAAGTTACAAGGGGTTGAAATTTCGCAAAAAAGCCCAAAAATCGAAAACACGGCCTCCTTCAACTGCCTATATCTCCGGTTCTATTCAACCTACAGACTTCATCAAAAATGCATTTTGTAGCTCTTGGAAGACACTTACATATATATTTAATTTCAAGATAATCGACTATTGCATTTGTTATAAACAATTATATTATTCAAACGTGATTTTCGAGACAATTGTCACTTTTTTAAATTTAAAAAAAAATATCATCGTATTCCTTGATCGATTCTCTATAAAAACCCAAAATTATAGACTGGAGGACTGGAGGGGCAAAACAGCGATTGATTCACAGGATACGCCTGTGGCGTCCGCGACGCGCACTGTTTGGCGCGCTTCGGGGTGATTCAACCTCAGGTTATGATAGGCAAGCAATTACTATAGTACAAAATTCGTTTGAAATAGATTTACGAAATTAGGTCGAAGATATCTTCAATTTTCAGAAGAGGGATTATAGGATTATCATCTTTTTGGTGCGGGACAGGTAGAAAACATTGGCTTGGTTTTTGAAGAGAAAAAGGATTATAGGATTATATTCGGAAGAATTTGTACATTATCTATTTTTGTGATATATTCAGGTAACTTCTCCATGGTATATTAGGTGCTGTAGATACACAATTCAGGTCAGTATCGTTCCAAAGTGTGTTCGACTAACATCTGGTGTTTGGTTTCAAAGTTTTGTATTGCAAGTTTTCATAGTGTTTTGCTTCATTATGATGAGTAATGTACATCACCAGTGTTTCAACCCGTTTAAGTTAGAGAAACACCGGTACCATAGAAAATGTGAACGCAAATTGAGAAATGTAAATCCGTCGCTGCTAAAAAAATTGAGACCGGAAAATCAACCTCCATCAGCGGAAAATATCATCGTATTCCTTGATCGATTCTCTATAAAAACCCAAAATTATAGCTTGGGGGATTGATAAGAACTGGGTCAAAACAGCGACACGGCCTGTGACGCGGCGCGCAGCGTAACCTTACGCCCTTGGGCAAATTGAGAGTATGGGACGCCTAATGTATATATACATATATGTAAAAATCTAGAAATAACCAATCACCTTCTTTTGAGTTAAGGAACATAGGGTAATAAATATAGATATGTGCTTAGTTTAAATCATAAATATAAACAAAGAGAGAAGGTAAAATAACGAAATAAGGTAAACAAAAAATTTAATGAATGCACCTGTTAAAAAATTTAAATGTAAGGTAAGGTAAATTAACATAAGGTACACAAAAAGTTTAATAAAAAAAATAAAACTTTTCTTAGCTTTATTGCTTGGGAAAATTTTAAACTGATATCATTACCTACTTCGACATACGGAGTATATCTTTTAAACTTCGAGTTATAGAGTATAGATATATCTATACTCTATAACATAGAGTTTGTTTTTTTTATTCGGAATTTGACAACGTCAAAAATTTGGGAGATTAGTTGGCAATTATTTCTGTAAAATCAAGTAAATCATATGACTAAAACTATTATGTATACATGTATAAAATTATTAACTATTGAATAGAACTGCTGTAGTATAAAAGAAGGTTTTGTCGAGGGATTGTAGAAGGTGTGAATAATACGGTGGTTTTTGGTGCTAAGACAATTGTTTATTAAAATCACTCCAATAATATAATAATATATAAACATTTGCTTAGAAACAAGGGCCTCGACAGAGCTTTCTGCGTTTAAGTATCTCTTGGCTGACACTTTCTTATTCGTTATTGGCCTAATGCAATGAAATGTTAGTGTGCCACGAATCACTTTTGCTTTTTCAAACAGAGCTTTCAATGTAGTGGTTTCATTTGCATAATCATTGTGCGTTAAAAATTGCAATGTTTTTTATGTTTGGATTATTTTTTGCCCAGGAATAAAATCTGTGTGGTGTATTGATGGGTTCCGGAAGATTTGGTTCTAGACTGGCTCTAGTTGCTAGCCTCTTCAGGGCCCCTTCTACACCATCACAAGGTCCCTTTCCGTGTGAAGTGGCAAAGAAATTCCATTCGGCACTAACCCCAAAGTCTTCTTCGTGAAGGCAGACATTCAAAAAATTCTTTTTGTTTTTATATTGTGCGCTGGCTCCATCGGAGAAGTAGATGATCTTATTCAACCCTGGTACATATTGTTTCAAAAAATTTACAAAATTTCTTTAAAAAAGGTGAACGGCGACGGTATCATGTTTTAAACTTTCGGAAATCGCAATATAATTTTTATGGTTCATTCTGACACCTTCTTTGTAATAACCAACGAAAGGATGTAAGGTGGCTTGGTCATTTTTCCAATGCACTCCCTGAATTGCATCTTGAATTACAAATGCGTAATTTTCCGCGAAATCGCACACTACCAAACACTCTCCTGGTTGCAACTGCTCCTTTCTTTCGGAAAAATAAGCTGACTGCTGCTGAGCGATGAACGCATGCGTGACCAATGCTTTTAGTTTTGTTTCCAGTTTTACCAGTAATTCTTCAACTGTCGATTGAATGATTTCCAAGTTTGTTCGATCTACCGATGTCCATTGTTGGCTTCGAATACCTCTTCCAGCTGATTTATCAAACCTTCCGTTCCTGGGCAATTTAAACATTGCCTCAAATGACAATCTATCGACGGTGGATTACAGAGCATTCTGGCCAAACAATCTTTATAATTACTGACTGGTTGAGGTGTGTCGGCTGTGAGGTGTGCTATTCTTGCTCCATCCAACAATAACTTGACATTCTCGTGAATTGCACACACGCAAACAGACTGGGTCGCGTTAGCTCCAGGAAGTACACAGTGCCTCGGTCGTAATTCGCAGAACTTTGAAAAGCCGACCTTCATGTCTGGATACTTTTCTTTGAAAACCCGGTACGTTTCCTTCAAGTTGCTGAGTATAAACCGCTTCTGTTTCTGAACTTTTTCGCAATTTTCCTTAACCGTAACGAAATTTTTTTTGCCCGCCATGACACGACTTATTTGATCGGAAGTATAAAAATCCACTATGCAATTCTCAGTAGCTTGGTTCAACTTCTTACCCGATTTGCCATTAGGAGTAGACAAAATCCCGGAGTCTGTCGACATCTTCTTGGCAACGGCAATCATGTGCCTGGAAACATCAAAGTGCTGCTGAATTTTTGAATATGATCAGTCGGAAAATATTGTCAATATTCGAATTTTCATATTCGGATCATTTGTTAAAACAAACGCTTCGCACCAAAAAGATGATAATCCTATAATCCCTCTTCTGAAAATTGAAGATATCTTCGACCTAATTTCGTAAACCTATTTCAAACGAATTTTGTACTATAGTAATCAATCGTGAAGTTTATTCGAGCATGTACAATCGTCATTCAATCATGTAAGAATTGCTTGCCTATCATAACCTGAGGTTGAATCACCCCGAAGCGCGCCAAACAGTGCGCGTCGCGGACGCCACCGGCGTATCCTGTGAATCAATCGCTGTTTTGACCCAGTTCTTATCAATCCTTCAGTCTATAATTTTGGGTTTTTATAGAGAATCGATCAAGGAATACGATGATATTTTTTTCAAAATTAAAAAAAGTGACAATTGTCTCGAAAATCACCTTTGAATAATATAATTGTTTATAACAAATGCAATAGTCGATTATCTTGGAATTAAATATATATGTCATGAAAGTGTCTTCCAAGATCTACAAAATGCATTTTTGATGAAGTCTGTAGGTTGAATAGAACCGGAGATATAGGCAGTTGAAGGAGGCCGTGTTTTCGATTTTTGGGCATTTTCGCGAAATTTCAACCCCTTGTAACTTCTAAACTAGGGGTGATAAAAATAAAAAAAAAATGTTCTATCTATTCATTTGTTCCAAAGAACCTGTAGAAAAAATTATTTTAAAATCAGAGAACTAGTGTTCAGAAAGCTGTCCGGTTTGACGTGGAATGACTCATACGTCAGATATTATGAATTGTCAAATAGTTTCCTTTAATTTTTTTTTGGAAAATAGTTTCATGCAAAATTATTAAAAATTAAAACCCCTCGATCGCTATGCGTTCTCGTGATTTTATTAAATTATTTTGCATTCAACATTTTCCAACAAAAACCAAACAAATAACCTGAGCCTAGTTTAACCGATTATATTCATAGTTCTCGTGATATAATATATGAAAAAAATATATATTATTGTTTTCTTAATATCTATAAAAGCTCTTAATTTTTTTAAATTAATTTTATAAGGTGTTGGCAATTAGATAAAACTACTTTTTTTCACAACTATTTGGTCTACATCTACTAGTGGCGTCTACACTATCATGCCCTTTAATATTCTAACAAAAAAATGACACGCCACTGCCTTTTTAAAATTAAATACCTAATAAATTATCCGTTCAAAGCCAAATTTGTCCATTTGATCAGACTTTTTAGGAAAGCAAAAAATCATATGTACTAAAGTACATTCAATTCTTGCAATATAAAGCATGTTTCTACATCTTCTTGCAAGACCATGGTCTTCCTAGCACGCCTGAATAAGCCATCATGATTTTTTCATAAATTCTAGAATGGTCATGTTTGTTTTTGACTAAATTTCAGGTGACATGTTTGTTGTTGATCGGATTCTACCAAGAGTTGTTTGTTTTTTATCAGTCCTACCCTCTCCAAATTTTGAAAAATTGTGATTTGCCAAAAATTTTAACATAACATAAAAGTGCAAATAAATACATGATGAAAAAAGAACGAATCAAAAAACGACAAATCTGTAAAATTATTTGACGTGCAAATTAGGTATTTTATCTTTACTTGGAGAGCTGTGATTGGTTGGTTGGACATGTTTGCGTCTAATAAGGTCAGCAGCGTGCTCGTTTTTGGTTTTGGTCAGACCTTTGGCTTTTGCGTCTGATTTTAAATAGGAAATTTTGGTCTTCGACCACTTTTACGCTGGATTTGTAGTTCTAAAAAGTAGAAGTAGCAGTAGGAGTAAAAATTAAGGCAATGCTGCCAACCTAAATGACTGCAATATGATTGGCTGGAGGAAGGAAAGTAGTAGTAGTTTTTGCGTCTGATTTTAAATAGAAAATTGTGGTCTTTGAGCACTTTTAAACTGAATTTATAGTTCTAAAAAGTAGGAGTTTCAGAAGGAGTAAGAAGTAAAGTAATGCTGTCAACCTAAATGTCTTCAATATGATTGGCTGGAGAAAGGAAACCAAGGTCTTTGAACATCTTTGATCTTTTCTTGCTGCTACTGCTACTCCAGCTTATCACACTGCAGGCATTTAGGTTGGCTGCAGTGTAACAATTTAAGTTGGTACTTTACATGGTACTTCATTAACAAAGTCAAAATTTAGCTGTCAATGTAGCGTGTTTTATTCTTGATTTTTGTTATTCTGTTAGTTTTGTGGCTGTTTCTTTAACAACTATGACGTTTCTGTAAAATGTCCTTTCGATTTTTCTCCGAGAGTTTATTTTAACCGGACGCTTCTCAAATGGCCTCTTAACTTTTTTGTCCGACGAACGGTTTTCGAATAAAGACCTAAAAAGCAATGAATTGCATTTTGCTACACGCCTATGACTTGATAGTATCCAGTAGTCCAAGTTGATGTGAACTTTTTTCCTTAAAATCAATTAAGGATTGAGCCCAGTCAGTATAAGCCTCTAATTAAAAAACACCCTGTATTTTCACTCATAATCAAAACTAAATGTTTCTATTTTTTATTTATCTATTTAATGTGACTTATATTACCAAAGATATGTAAATTCTGTCATCTAACGCAAAATCTGCAAAATCTCATGAGTACCTACATATTAACTTGTCGTAAATTTAAACCATAAATTTCAATATCAATTTTTTCAGAATTGGGAGTTCCAATATTACCAGAAGGACCCAAAAAACTCATACACACAAAATGGTATTTTACACATTAAACCAACCCTTTTGTCCGACGAGAAAGGGGAGGTGTTTCTAACCTCTGGAAAAATAGACATACCTAAAGACCAGTGCGTATAAATTAAATTCAATTAAAAAATATATTATAAAACATTTTTTAGATGCACAAACTCCGATAATTGGGGTTGCAGCAGACAAGGAACTCCTGAAAACGTTCTTAATCCAATCAAAAGTGCTCGTCTTCACACGGTTAACTCTTTTACTTTCACTTATGGCAAAGTTGAAGTTAGGGCTAAAATACCAGCCGGTGATTGGTTGTGGCCAGGTGAGTACACAAAACTTAAGCCACAGCAAGTTTTAACAAATTTTTTTAGCTATTTGGATGATGCCAAAAGACTTTAAATACTCATCTTGGCCTGCCTCCGGTGAAATAGACATAATGGAGAGTCGTGGTAATAGAGATCTAAAGGAAAATGGTCGTAACATTGGCACACAATTAATGGGCAGTACTCTTCATTTTGGTCCAAACCCTGCAAATAATGCATTCATGCATACTCACTGGGAAAAATCTTTGCCGCAAGGTTTCGATCGTGATTTCCACAACTACCAAGTGAACTGGAATCCCAATGGAATCACCTTCTCTGTTGATAATCAAGTTATCGGTGAAGTTAAGCCAACAAATGAAGGTTTTTGGAAGGTGGGAGACCTTGCTAAAAGTAACTTACCAAATCCTTGGAAGGGAAGCTCAAAGATGGCCCCCTTCGATCAACAGTTTTATTTGATTTTGAATTTGGCTGTGGGTGGTACCAATTTTTTCCCAGATAATGCCTCAAACCCAGGAGGTAAGGCATGGTCCAATACATCACCTCATTCGGCTACTGATTTTTGGCGAGGCAAGAACCAATGGTTACCAACCTGGAAAAATGATGGATCCTCTCATTTACAAGTGGATTATGTTAAAGTTTGGGCTATTTAAATCATCACGATTAAAATATTTTGTTAAACCTTTGAATTTTCAGAAAATATTTTTAAAATTATTGTTTTTTATTTATACCTATTTGGTTCAACAGTTGTCATAGTAATTATATTATAGGTAGGTAAAAAAGCGTAATATACGCATTTCCTTCATTTAAAAACAAATATATATATATATATATATAGAATAGAATAGAATAGATTTTATTAGTTCAAAATATTGCAGTGTTTACAATGTTGAACACGTCAAAAAAACAATACATAAATATTATAAAAACTAAATATAAACAAATACAATAAATTCTCTTAACTTACAAAAAAATCATCAACACAGTAATCACATCTGTTTACAAGATATGCTTTTAAAGAAGGTTTAAATTCCTTTAAATTTCGGTCTTTAATTGTTTTTGGTAATTTATTATATAGAACCAGAGCAAAGTTTTGTATACTCTTGTAAACAGTGTGGATCCTGGTTTGAGTAATAAGTGCCAAATCTTTTTTTCTAGTAAAATATGAATGGTCTCTACTAGTGTTATTAAAAAGAAAAAAGTTTTTTTTTGTAAAAAATTAAAGTTTCATATATATAAATATCTGGTAGCGTAAGTAAGTTTTGTTTTTTAAATGTTTGCTTACAGGACTCATTAAATTCCAAATTAAAAATACATCTTATAATTTTTTTTTGAAAAGTAAACAAATTTTTGGTATGGGATGAATTCCCCCAAAAAATTATTCCATATTTTAAATTTGAATAAACAAAAGCATAATATATATTTAATAGTGCCCCTTTTGGAACATTAAATCTTAAATTAAGGAGTAAGTAAAGATACTTATTGATTTTTTTTAAAACATTATCTATTTGATTTTTCCATAACAATTTATTGTCCAAAGTAACGCCTAAAAATTTAATTGAGGTACTTAACTCTATACTACATATATTATTAATATTAATTTTGCTATTCGTAAACCCATAATTTCCAAACTTAATATACTGTGTTTTGCCTACATTTAACTTGAGGCCGTTGTCTTGAAACCACTGAAATATATTTTCTTGTGTTAAAACAATATTAGATATTAAATAATCTATTGTGGAAGATTTAAAAATTGCAGTAGTATCATCTGCATAGGTACATAAAAATATTATCATGACATTGAGGCAAATCATTTACAAATAAAATAAACAAAAGAGGGCCAAGAATTGAACCCTGAGGAACTCCTTTTTTTAAATCCACTATATTGGAAGAAAATTCCAAACCATTTTCCGAAAATATTTTCACTATTTGTTTTCGGTTGGTCAGATATGATTCAAACAGCCTTAGCACTGTACCTCTTATGCCATATCTTTCTAATTTTAACATCAATAGTTCTTTATCCATAGTATCAAAGGCTTTAGATAAGTCAAAAAAGGCAGATACTGCCAGGGTCTTGCTATTCCAAAGGTCCATGATTCTATCAATAAAATTGAAAATTGCTAATTCCGTTATACTACCTTTAACAAAACCATATTGATGTTTAGAAATTATGGAATGTTTATTACAATATTTTGTTAATCTTGTAGATATTGATATTTCTAAAATTTTTGAAAAAATAGGTAATAAAGAAATAGGTCTATAGTTATTAACATCAGTTTCAGGACCTTTTTTATGCAAAACCCTGACAATAGCCAACTTAAGACTATCCGGAAAAATACCATTTTGAAAACAAAGATTTATAATATGGCTAAAAGGACTTGCTATTATATGTGCGCATCTTTTAATAATAGTTGTTGAAATTTCATCCCAACCAGTGGATTTTTTATTTTTTAGATTATTTATGATGTTATACACTTCAACAGCATTTGAGGGGTATAAAAACATATTTGAGTTAATGCGTGTAATGTTGTTGGCGTTAAGTTTTGGAGATGGCAAATTTAAAGTGTCAGATATATTTGCAAAAAATAGATTAAATTCATTAGCAACTTTCAATGGATTATCAATAGCAGTGTTTTCTTTCTTTAAAATAATGTTTTTTGGTTTAGAAACTAAAGTTTTGTTTTTATTTATCAGTCTCCACATTTGTTGCTGGTTGTTTGGAGCATTTTCTATAAGTTTTATATTATATTGGAGTTTAGCTTTTTTTAGTTCAAATTTTAAAGTCTTAGAAATATCTTTATAATTCTTTTTTAGAAATGGATAAATAATATTATTTTTACAATTTATTAAATTTTGATGCATTTCTCTTTTTAATTGTGAAATTTGTTTAATTCTATTGTTAATCCACGGTAGTTTTGCCGAATTTTCTTTATTTTTATAACATTTTTTAGGAAACAAAACATCAAATTTGGTTTTAAAATTATGGTGAAAAGAATCAAAAGAAATATTTGGGTCTTTACAATTGTAAACAATATTCCAATCAAGCATAGACAATTGGTTGATAAAATCATTAATATTTTGTTCCGAGTATTTCCTTTTAAAATGCTTACATGTAGTTTCTTTTTTATCAATATATTTATAACAGAACTTAATAGCAAAGTGATCTGAAAGATTCGACTTAATTACTGAAGAGGAAAAATGGGACAAATGAATGTTTGTAAATATATTATCGATTTGTGTACTTAAAATATTTGTTACTCTTGTAGGCTCATTAATTGTTGATCTTAAGTTAAAACTAAATGTTAAATTAAAAAGGTTTTGCCTAAATGCACAATCATTATTCAAAAAATTGATATTAAAATCACCAAGAACTAAAATGGATTCATTATTTCTGGTAATTAAATTTAAAAGAATATACTCAAAACTTAACAAAAACTCCGAAAAATCAGGCGTTGGTGACCGGTACACACAGACAATAATAAACATATTATAATCCAAGCACTTTATAGCACAACACTCACAAATTTTTTCTTTTGATTGCACTAAAACTTTTTCTATTTTAATATTGTCCTTTGCATATATACAGGTCCCTCCATGAATAAAGCTGGTTCGACAAAATTCAGAAATGAGATTGTAGCTGTAAATTTTTTTGTAATGTATGGCTTCTTTTGACATCCAATGCTCCGAAAAACATACAACGTCTGGTTTTTCATTTTCCAGAAAAAGTTCTACTTCTTCCTGTTTATTATTAAGACTTTGAATATTTAAATGAATTATATTTAAGTTTTTATGGGTTACATTATTATTATTAGATATATTTTTACTATTCAATACTTGTTGGTTGACTTTGGTTGCGAAAAAATGTTTTAAAATTAAAGTTTTTTAATAAGATTCCTTCCGGCCAAAATGTTGCAGATCCAACAGTAAAAGCAACACTTCTGTATTTTCTTTTTTTGGGAGGCTCTTCACTTCAAAATTTTTATTTGGTAATTTATTTTTTAAATATTTTTTAATTGATTCTTCACGAGTGCCTATTGCCATATTTCCAACATACACCCAAGCGCGCCTTTTTACAGCTGTTAATGTATTTTCAGAATTTTCATCTTGTTTTGCGGTTCCCCGTATAATTTTAGGTTTATAAATAGATTTAACTTCTTGTGTTGTATTCGTTTTTTCTTTAATTGAAGACGTGGCGATGGGATTGTCCTTGGTTTTTTGTAGGATTTGTGTATATTGCATTGGAACAATATTTTTACTTGTATTTAAATTTAAATTATTTATTTTCTCTTTTAACAACTCATTTTTTTCTTCCATTTCTTGAACTAATTTAACATATATGGCGTTTTCATTTTTTACTGTTTTATTAATTTGAAGAACTTCCAAAACTTTGCGGGCAACCATTTCATTTGCAATACAATATTTACAAACGAATAAATCATTATGAGACTCACAATTTTTTGCCGAGCAGTTAAAATGATAAGCCAATTGGCATAGTGAACACTTATAGCCATTTGTCACTTTTTTGTTACACTATTTTAAGGCACAATTAACATTTGTATTTAACACGTCTTCCTCTTCGGACGACATATTAACTATATATATATATATATATATATATATACCGGGTGTATCTGAGAATAGGCGCACCCCTGTAACTTTTTTATTTAAGTATAAAGATAGACATATTAAATTTAGCATGGTTAATTAGGATATAAAATGCTACTTATAAGAGTACAAAATGATTTTTTTGAACTTCCGGTTTCCCCGGAAATGATACCAACTTTCGATTTTTAAATGGAATGCCAGACAGCATCCTCAAATTGACCTTTTGACGTTTCGTCATCAGAAAATGCATCATCATAATGATCAATCTAGAGTGCTTTCAACTATTTGAGAAAAACGAATTTTGACAAGTTTAGACTGCTGGGAACAGCTGAATAACAACTTTCTAAGCCAAGTTCCATTTTTCAGGCATTGTGTGAATCCATTAGAAAAAAATAAGATAGTTCAAAGCACTCTAGATTGATCTTTATGATGATGCATTTTCTGATGACAAAACGTCAAAAGGTCAATTTGAGGATGCTGTCTGACTGAATTTTCTCAGGATTCCAAATATGTAAAAATATATAGGGCATATCATTTAAAAATCGAAAGTTGGTATCATTTCCGGCGAAACCGGAAGTTCAAAAAATTCGTTTTGAACTCTTATTAACCATGCTAAATTTTATGCGTCTATCTTTATAAATAATATATTGGCAATATAATATTAGCAAACGTGTTACTTATTTTGGAGTTTCCTTATTTTCCAATTTAATTATTATAATAAAACACAGTAGAAAAACCTAAAATTTGACGGATTTAGCATTTAGCGAAAAATGTGTTGGATTTTAAAATAATCTGAAACTGACCAATTCTTAAAACGTTTTACTAAAAATTGACCGGTTTTAGATTTATACAAACAATAACACGCTGGTAAATTTTCAACTTGTTTGGCTAGGTTGGCGCTTGTTCTCAAGATATTTAATCAAAAACGGTAAAATCTGTATTGAATCTACTTACTTAAATTTTTTGTGTGTTGAAACTTAATTTTAAATCCTAAATTTATTTCAGGCGCTATTTCGTTTCATTTCACCATTTTCCAATTTCTTCGATTCTAATTAGTTACGATTATTATCATCGGTGGAAAAATATAAAACAAATTCTAATGATTATTTCCCTCATTATAATATGAACCAATCAAAAGCCTTGAATTTTCGAATAAATTTCGTTTAAATAAGCGATTAAATCACTAGAACTATTTAACAGCGATTATTTCCCTCATTATAATATGAACCAATCAAAAGCCTTGAATTTTCGAATATATTTCGTTTAAATAAGCGATTAAATCACTAGAACTATTTAACAGCGATTAAATTTTAGCCTCCATATTGGATTTTTGTTTACGATTTTATGGTGTTATTTACAAGTTTTAACAAACATTTTTTAAAAAACAATAAAAAATAAGTTATCTAGTTTACGAAATATCAATTATTACTTATTACATACCTTAAAGTAATGGAATTTTCTTTAAAAAAAATATTTATAAATTTTGACACATACGTCAGATTTTATGAATTGTCAAATAGTTTCCTTTAATTCGAGAAATAATCTAGACGTATATCACTCAACCTATAAATTTAATCTGTCAAACCATGCTCAGTAAGTTTTTTATTTGATTTTTCTTTTTGGAAAATAGTTTCATGCAAAATAATTAAAAATAAAACCCCTCGACCGCTACGCGGTCTCGTGATTTTATTAAATTATTTTGCATTCAACATTTTCCAACAAAAACCAAACAAAAAACTACTGAGCCTAGTTTAACCGATTAAATTCATAGTTTTCGTGATATAATATATGAATATCTGATAAAAAAAAAGATGTTTTATGAATATGTGAAAAACGTTCCTCAAAAACAAATAGGGTCGCTCACCAACCTCGTCGTTTTTGGTCAATAGTTGTTCAAAAAAACCATATTTAGCATGTTGCATGTAAATCTTTAATTACATAATATGTAATTAAATGGTGTTACCCCGTGATATTTAATAAAACTAAATGAGTTTGACCTACACTTTTATTGTGTTTTGATCTTTCATAATTAAGTAGATATTACAGCTCAGCTTCCAGATTTTTAACTGCAATTAATTATTTTTTACAATGTTTTAAAAGTCTCAAACCTATCCTCCGTGACTGTTACTCTTTCTAGGTTAACCTATATGTTTTTAAATATCTGAGGTAGTAAAAGCATACTAAAAATATCAGTTCACTAAGTAAATTAAACACATCCAAAGCAATCAAATCAAATATAAAATATTATTAAAAATTAAAAGAAATAATTTTTATAACCATTTATTATATTATTTAGGTGTTGCAAAAATTTATTCTATCCTCCGAGAATCTGTTTTAGCTTTAAATTTTATTCAACGAATGGCGCTTTAATCATTTTAAATAAGCAAAAACCTCTGTTTACGACATAATAGATGGTTTTTTAATTATCGCATACCCTGTACATGTACATTCAATATAAAACATTTAAAAACCAAAATAAGCCATGCATATACAACTACATACGAGAGAGCCTTTTAAAATAATTAGTAACATTTTAATGTTTGCTTTAAACAAGTAAATGCAGGGTTAGTACTAACTTAGTAGAAATTAAACTTCTTTTATTGTCATTCTTTTAGCTCAAATAACAGTTATTTTATAAAATTTTAAATTTAAACCAAATTAATTTCTAAAACTGTTAATAATCGTGTACAATGTAGGTACATATTGAAAGGTGCCGTCCAATTAAATATTTATAATTTTTAATGTGGAAAAACTATTTAATGCTTTAAAAAATTTTAACCCGGTATATCACGTGCAAATGTAAGAAAAAAATTAAATGACCTGTGGCAAAAATTGTTACGAAGAAGATTGAGAACAAATTACAAATTGTAATTTACAATTAGCAGTGCTAATTTAGCACTATAAAAAGAAATCATATTTTTTACTCTGGTACATAAATAATTTTTACAGCTGTATCTTTTAGATTTGGTCCAGTAAAATTAGACAAAAAAAAATTGCGGTCAAGTTAATTTTTTCAGTCTCAAAATCTTTTGGGGTAGTATTGCAATATGGGTAGTTTTCTATTTAATTTCATTTTTCCATGTTGTACACAATAAATTTGATATTTGAAGGCCATTATATAGGGTGTTACTCAAGTATGTAAAATTAATTTAACAGACGATTCTTTAGGTGATTTTAAGACAAAAAGTTCAAATAAACATGGGTCCGAAAATGCTTCGTTTTCAAGATAAATCTTAACGTATATTTTTGAGACTATTTCCCTCGTCTTAATTTCCACCAATCACAAACGCGCAATTTTGAATTACAAATGGTTTCTAGGTGAAAAAACTGTGTGACAGCACCTGTCAGCAGTTTATTCGAGTTTACCCGCGGCAAAACTTGACAGCTGTTGTCACCAAAAATTGCAATTTATATTTTAATTGTTAACTGTTACTCGTGAAATAGTCTTGTCAAATACCATTCGGGCATCTAATTTTTCCTGTGAAAAAAATCGAAAAAACACAATGCTAAGTAATATTTTTTAACAAAAAGCATTCGTGCAGGTGCAAAAATCCTCCTCTTCGACTCGGATTTTTGTTGCCACCAGCACTCATGCTTTTTGTTAAAATATTACTTAGCAACGTGTTTTTTCGATTCTTTTCGGAAAAAATAAATGCCCTTATGATATTACTTACGAAAAAAATGTACGCCTCTGACTTTTTTGTAATTTTTATATATTTTTTATTTCTTGTTTCTTGAATTTGTTTCGTATTTGCTTAGTTTTCGAGAAAAAAATAAAACCCACCTAAATCTGTATCTTGTGTTGTCCAGGGATATGCAATTAAGGGGATTTTTTCTCGCAAATAAAATTTAAGAGAAAAAAATTGTATTTCTAGCTGCTTAACCGAAAAAAATATAAAAAATACAAAAAGTCAGTGGCGTCAGTGCCGCTCGGACGAAACAGCTGTGTCCTAGGACTTAATAAATTTAATCAAGTTAGAGCTAAATTAGCCCCGTAACACTAAAAATAACTGCCAAATTACAAAAAAAAAATGGGTTAAGAATATTTAATATATTTACATAAAACCAATTAAAAAAGTTTAACACCCTGTATCTTGAAAACAAAGCATTTAGGAACCCATGTTTATATGAATGTTTTGTCTTAAAAATGCAACAATTTATGCGAAACGTTATAAATTGATAAATTGTCAAGTATTTATTTTATCTAAGCAATGGTTTAAACATATTTACCCATTAGCCATTTTTGTAAACATTATTATTTATTAGTTTATTTCACACACATAGTCTGTGGTTTATTTGTTAGTTTAATCAGATATAAATATTTAACAAGCACATATGTTTCCAATCCAGTTTTTTTTTATGAATGTTTGATTATAATCAAACCTTCTATATAATTCTATACAATTATTAATAAAAATGTTATATAATTTTTCGTGTAAAAAACAAATTGTATTTAGTTTTTAAACAATCAATGTCTATATTAGACACGATGGCAACAGTATACAATTTAAGTTAACTAATATGTATAATAAATACAATGTATAACAATTTACATAGTTATATTAATTAAACAAAACTTAAATAATACAACATTTATTTTACAACTTAATCGCCTTTATAAAACTATTATAAGAATATTTATATAATATGTGGTAATTTAAGGTTTCTTTCTCACTCCGTTTATAAGTGCCAACGAGAGCGGTAGAGTAAGAAGATGTGCGTGCCCACACTGTGCGTGCCCACCCTGCGCGTGCCCACCCTGCGTAGGTCACCGGCCGCCACTGCCAGGGCCGAATTTAAGCATGTGCCTGTGGGCAAAGTTACTGTGGGGCCCCCCTCCCCCATAATTTAATTTGTTAAATAAAATTATCTTTTAACATTTTTAAAAAAAAGTTTAAACTTAAACCAACCTCATAAGGTATGGACTTTTTAATTAAAATATTTTAATTTTTTTTAAATAATTAATTTTTAACTGCATTGTAAACATACATTTTAACAATTATTTATAAAAAAATCTTATTTTAATGCCAAGAATACAAAATTTGTACATACAACACAATATTCTTATTAGGTTCTATTAGGTACTATATTTTATCTACACTTACTAGTTTATCTGTAATAACAAAATTTTAGAATATCATTTAACACTTTAATTAATGTTGGTTTGGTTAATTATCAGTGATGTAGCTAGCAAGGGGGCCCCGTATCAAAAATCTGGTAGAGGCCCTTATACCGGAAAAGCTGCCGGCAAAACAATTTCTGGGTGTTTAGGGTACCATTTTTTTGCATTTACCAATTTTTTATAATTTAATAAATAATATATGTATACATAGCTTTTTATGTTCTGGTAAGTTTTAAAATTTGTTCTAGTTTTAGACCAATTTACCGTTCTTCAACATCTTTTAAAAGGTTTCTATTTTAAAATAAAGGCAAGTCATTTGAAATAATTGTAACGCTAATAATTATTTCTAATTTGCTATTAATATAATCTATGATAATAACACGCAAAGCAGACTCAGTATGCGGCGCAGAGCACAGAACAATATGCGCAGACTGCGCCGCAGACAACGCATAGCGGAAAGGTGCAGACAGAAACAATTCGTATGAGTTCACGGCCTCGTTGGAACAGCAGGGTATTCAGGAAAATTTAATTTAATTTAATAAATCGAAGTATAAATAATTAAATAATAATATTATTTATTTATTTAATTTTATGCCTTAATTTTTTTAACATGTGGGTAAATGTTTTTTGCTTACGCATGTCGAAGCCAATCGCCCCCCCTAGCCGGGGGCCCCGTAGTTGTGAATATAAGTTTGGAATATAAGTAAACATTTTATTGAATTTGTCTTTTTGTGGAGGGCCTTAAAATTGTGGAGCCCGGAGAGGCTGCTCTCTTCGCCCTCTCCTAAATACGGGCCTGCCCACTGCTCATATTTAGTTTTTTACTCTTGAAACTGAAGGACTACACTTCACTTTTATCTAAATCTAACATCTATCCCACCGTACGGATCGTTAACTTTATATAAAAGCAAATAAATCTCAAATTAACCATTACTTTAAATTAACACTGGCAAAATGAAGTTGGAAATACTTATATTGAGTCTATTTGCTATATACGTTAGATCTAAAAGTGTGGATCTATGTGGTACTTCGTTAACAACAGTTAGTGGAACACATGCACCCAAGCAAGTTTGTGCCGGTGAATTAATTTTTGAAGATGACTTTGACACTTTGGATCTGAAGAAATGGCAACATGAGCTTACTCTTGGAGGAGGTGGGGTAAGTTTTAGAAAATAAATATGTATACTATTTATAGGTGTGTGCTTTTTTTAAATAAAACATTTTGTTTCTGTATTCATCATTTTTATTGTGGATAATTTTTGTATAGGTTTACAGCACAAGGAACTGTTCTTAAGGGGTCACCATTTTTAAAAAGTTTGCTGAAATATGTATATTTTATTTTAGAACTGGGAGTTCCAATATTATAATAATAACCGAACAAACTCATATGTGGAAAATGGTATACTACACATCAAACCAACTCTTTTGGCTGATGAAAAGGGTGAAGCTTTCCTAACATCAGGAACATTGGAAATATATGGTGGATCTCCACAAGACCAGTAGGTTTACACTGTTATAAAATCAGATTTGTTAACATGAATTTGTAGTTTGTTAAGTTTATTTTTTTTAAATTTTAACATAATTTTTTGTAGAAAACAAGGGTTTGTAAGTATTTTAACAAAGTAAAATATTTTACCGAAAGTTTTGTAAAGGTAATATGCATTTTGTAAGCATTTTATTAATTTTAAAGGTTACAGATTATTTTGTTAATGCTCAACAAATTATTTCGTTAAAAGTGCGTGATTTCGGGCAGTCAATCAAAACATTTCCCATTTAGAATACTCATTAACAAGTTTAACTAACTGTATGGTTCGGAACACAAACGAAGTTATCATTCCTCGTCCTTATATAGGTTTTGGAATCATTCACTGCGGTGAGACGAAAGTAGGTCGTGCCATCTACCGTCTTTTGACATGTTCTTTATGTTATATGTTTAAGACGGTAGATGGCACCACTTACTTTCGCCTCACCGCAGTGAATGATTTCAAACCCCTTATAAGGAGGAGAAATCGTAATTTTGTTTGTGTTTCGCACCATAAAGCAACTCGGTACTGATGTTCCAATAAAGGGAAACAGCTGTTTATCGATGCTGGTGAGGAACACGAACGAAATTAAAGAAAAGCAGACACAAAATAATTACATCAGGAAGTGTTGTAGTAGTACTGATAAATTATATTGTACCAAATATCTTTATAATTTGATGATTTCAGAATTATGAGTTCATTTATGTAGGTATGTGTTAATTTTTTTGTTTAGGAAATTGACTAAAAAAGCATTTCTTATCAAAATTCTTTTCATTTAACTTCTGAGAGTTACAAAATAGTTATTTGTTTTACAAGTGTTGAAAAGCGACTTTTTCATGCGAGTTTTTAAGTTGCCCACGAGGCCGTCAGGCCGAGTGTGCATTAACGCGAGCTTGAAGAAAGCTTTTCTCACAAGTATAACACAATGTTTTTTCTGCGACCCTTTTATTTTTTATTATTTTTAAATACAAAACAAAATAACCTAAAAACTTTTTTGACAGCTGAATGTCAAACGATGCTTTCCGGTTCTTTTCACACAGACCTGTCACTTTTCACACAGACCTGTCACTTTTCACACAGACCTGTCACTTTCACACAGAAATGTCACTTTACATTCGTGTTTTGCCTTGCCAATGAAAAGATTCATTTTCTAAGCAACGATGCCATCATGAAAAGTGACTTTTACATAGTGGTCGTACAAAAAATACTTTTGCTACTGGGTCTACAAAAAGGTTTGTAAAAATACAAAATTACAAGAATTATGGTTAAAATATTGACATAGCATTTTGTTATTAAATCTACAAAATGTTTGTTATATAATTACAAACTACTTATTCAATTAGTTAACAGATTACAATTGTTTGTAAACTTAACATAAAGTTATGAGGACCAGGATTAACATAAAATCTAGTTAACATTTGGTTAAAATTAACAAATCGTTTTTACTGTGTATACAAAGTGAATCGGAAGGATCGCACGCATTAAAATAATTAAAAAAACTCAAATGTTCTTATTCGATTCTCATTTGTTTTGAAGTTATAGCGTAATTAAAAAATAAATAAAATGAAACGTTAAAATTTGTTTAATAGTTATGACTTTTTATAAGGTGTTCAAAAAAACCCCCATTGAGTTCTAAACATGCTCTGCTACGTCTGCGAACAGCGCCTTTTGCTTGTCCTATTAAATCTTGTTTTTCTTTAAGAACTGCGCCAGTATTAATTATTCGTTGAATAAGTGCCTCTCGATTATTCACTTTTACTTTGTAAACTTCTCTTTTAAACCAACCCCATAAACAAAAATCTAGTGGTGTTAGATCTAGACTTCTTGGAGGCCAACTAATTGGACCTCCGCGACCAATCCAACGCTCTGAAAACATTTCAAGTGTTGCATGACCTCACGAGCGAAATGTGCAGGGGCTCCATCATATTAGCATACTCTAAATTTGATTAAACTTTTGTCATTTAAAAAAAATTTAATCTGAAAAATTACAAAAATACCACTGACGCTGACAGTTAGGCCTTTTAAATGTAAACAATATGTATAACTATGGAAACAAAAACTTTGTTTCCATAGTTTTTCAAAGAACATTATTTTAAATTTCGCTATAACTTGAAAACAAATAAGAATCGGATAAGAACAGTTGAGTTTTTTTATTGTTTTGATGTGTAAAATTCAGTCCTAGAGTTTAGTGCGATCCTTTCGATTCAGCCTGTATTTTAATTTAAATAAAAAAGTATTTAAATTTATTTTTTTAGATGTACCAACCCGTTATTTTATGGTTGTAGCAGAACAGGATCACCAGTAAACATCCTTAACCCAATCAAAAGCGCTCGTATCCGTACAATTAACTCTTTTGCTTTTACTTATGGTAAAGTTGAAGTAAGAGCTAAAATACCAGCCGGTGATTGGTTATGGCCAGGTAACTCTACCATATTTAAATTAAGGCAATTTTAAAAATATTTTTGTAGCTATTTGGTTGATGCCAAAGTGGTTTCAATACTCCTTGTGGCCTGCCTCCGGTGAAATCGACATCATGGAAAGTCGTGGCAACAGAGATTTGATCAGTAGTGAAAATGGTCAAAACATTGGTACAAAATTGGTTGGGAGTACTCTTCACTTTGGACCAAATACCGATTACAATAGATATATGCACGCTCACTATGAAAAAACTTTACAAGAAGGTTACGATGCTGCTTTCCACAACTATCAATTGAACTGGACTCCAGATGGAATCACCTTCTCTATTGACGATGAAGTTATTGGTGAAGTAAGGCCAACAGATCAAGGATTTTGGAATTTGGGAGAGCTGGATAAAACTAACTTGGAGAATCCTTGGAAGGGAGGCTCAAAGATGGCACCATTCGATGAAGAGTTTTATTTGATTCTAAATTTGGCTGTCGGTGGTACAACGTATTTTCCTGACACAGTCACTAATCCAGGTGGTAAACCATGGTCTAATACATCACCAAAAGCTGCTACAGATTTCTGGAATGGCAGAAATCAATGGTTGCCCACTTGGAAAAATGACGGAAGCACTCATTTTCAAGTAGATTATGTTAGAGTTTGGGCTGTATAATTTAAAACAATATATATATATATATATATAAAACAATATATAAATATATATATATTATATATATATTTAAAATGTTAATGTTTTGTTTGACGGATAGTATTTATAAATGATTTAATGTTTTTTCTCGATTTTTATGTAAGAATGTCATATTCTCGCACGCAAAATCGTTGAAGAATGAAGCTCATTCTTAAACGATTTTTGGTAACATTTAGTTTTTAAGTATTGGTACCCCCAAAATGTCAAACTAATTAATAACCTCAAATTCATTACTTTTATTGAAAATGAAGCCTTTATTATTGTTTTGTAATATAAAGTTTGCTCCAACAATGCATTTTAATGCAAAATTTTAAGTTTAATGTGTAAAAGTGCAGTTCAGGTTGTACTTGTGCAGGATAACAAATATTGTCATTTTGTGTTGCCAACTGACATTTTGCGAGAAAAATCCCCTAACTAACAACGACCACAAAAGGATTAAAAAAACCTAAATAAAAGTTAAAATCGAGAAAATAGTATAAATCACACGTTGCAGAAGGCTATTCTCGCACTCATTCGTTCGTCCACTCGCTCCTTCGTCGCTCGAGGCCAAATTTCGAATTCGTGCGAGAATATGTGGCCTTCTGCAACTTGTACTTTAATATACTATTCTTATTTACGTATTTGTTTTCTGTAGATAAGCTTTTTTATTTCTATTTAAAGTTCTGACACTACTAGATAACGATGCCATTACGAAATGTGACTTTTACATAGTGGTCGTAGAAAAAATTAATTACATCGTATTGTTTTAATTTTTAAGGTATAAGTTACTTAAAATCAATAAACTTACCTTCTCAATTTAAATAAAGGCACTAAATATTTGAATTTATTATACAAACACAATTAATTGTGTTATTAATGATATTTAGATATATCTATATATACAAACACAATACAAATTTTACATTCGTGTTGTGCCTTGCCAATGAAAATATTCATTTTCTAAGCAACGATGCCATTACGAAATGTGACTTTTACATAGTGGCCGTAGAAAAATTATATTTTATTTACGAATGTTTAGTTTATATATTTTTTAGATTTTTAATTATTTTATTTAGGTTGGAATGATAAAACAATTAAAAGAGTATAATATCTACAACAATATTTATTTTTTAGATTTGCAATTATTTTATTTAGGTAGGAATGATAAAATAATTAAAAGAGTATACTATCTACAACAATATTTAATCAAAACTAGATTTCAATTTTAAACTACATTTTAATGATTTCCACTTGTTGTGAGCTGCGAGTCGCTTCATTTTTTGATGAAGTAAAAGTTTAGGCATACCTACATAAATATTAAGTTTAAAATGAAAACTGAACTTTTTCTTATTAGTTTACTAGTAATTAACGTAAAATCTGACTTTTGTCTCCCTTCGGTAACAACGGTCAGTGGATCACGTGCTGGTAAAGTTTTTTGTGCCGATCAATTGATTTTTGAAGATAACTTTGACACTTTGGATTTATCTATATGGCAACACGAACATACTCTTACAGGCGGAGGAGTAAGTATTTATCTACATAAAAGAAATTTACCTATGCTTAATGAATAAAACTATTGTTTGTTTAGAATTACGAGTTTCAATATTACTGCAACAATAGATCCAACTCGTACGTGGAGGATGGTGTTCTACATATAAAACCGACGCTTTTAGCTGATGAAAAAGGTGAAGCTTTTCTAAGCTCAGCCACTATGCAAATATATGGAGGAACACCAACAGATCAGTGAGTTATATCGGATATAAATTGATCATTGCATTGGGATTGAAAATGAAGTCAAAATGAGTGCAGCACATTATGTGTAAAACATTTTTACAAAAATGACGATTGTGCACAGTTGTAAGAATTTTATTTTTCTACTCCTATTACGGAATTTGACCCTTCTAATATCACTTTTTATCTATGAAATGACATATATTCTGTAAAGTGTTACAGAATGAAATTTTCTATCTTCTGATGACAGAATAAACACTCGTGGCGACATCTCTGTTTTTAATATCTAACAAATTTTAGACCAATCCAACCTCACTTTCTTCCAATTAAATTATTTTTCTATAGTATTTTTTTGAAACGTAGAAAAAGTATAGTCTGAAACACGTTTGGAATTTGCATATTCCGCTCTCGTGAAACCGTCAAACTCGCCTTTGGCTCGTGTGACAAACTCTTCACTCGAGCGGAATATGCTGTATTCCAAACTTGTTACAGAATATACTATTTTCCTCGCAGCTTGTAATACAATAAGGTTGTAGTAAAATTATAAGCTAACAGGTTCCACCCTCAATTAATGATAACCAACAACAAAGTTTAAGCTTGTGCTGGACGGGATCCTTAATCAACAATTTTGTATGATTTTTTCTTCCAAATTGACACTCCCAACAAATCTTTGGCCATTCGCAAACGAAATGTTTGCAAAAAAAACTATTTCGTGTACGGATTTCTATTTTTTTATGGAAATAGGTTTTTTATTCGTCTTAAAAAGTCGGGTTTAAGTTTGCTCATTAAAAGAAATAATGATCGAAATGTGGAGGTATTCATTTTAGTAATTGGGTATCTACAATTTTTCTACTGTATTAACACTTTTTCGAGGGTTTCTTCTTCTTCTTCTTCTTCTTCTTCTTCTTCTTCTTCTTCTTCTTCCTTGGTGGCCAAAGGCCTTAATGGTCTCGGTTTCAATGTACCACTTTGACCAGAAGCAAGTTTTAACGTCTGTGCGTTTCACGAAGCCATCCACCCATAGACACGTGAATTTTCCAATCTTGGAACATCCACTAAATCTTTTGTACAAATCACAAAATACCTCGCTAAAAGGTCAAAGCCAGCGATATTGTTCAAAAATACAGGTATATTTCTATACCCGGAATCCAATCTTGTCCATCCTGGGTCAAAGTCAGCTATGTTTCATACTTTTTCATCGAGCGATGGCCCAGAGCTGAGAATGCGATGCCCTACACATGAAGGACAAAATCCAACTTTTTTCGAGGGTTTCAGATTATGTAAAGTTCTGATTAAAATTCTGTTTAAGAAATGTATCTACGCAGCAGGACCGGATTTATGCTGAACTTGTTTTAAATTAACATACTAAAAATGCATTTTTAGCAACTATTAAAAACCTAAAAATAAACGTTTAAAGTTTATTATTAAATTATATTAAACTTAGGAAAAAAACGAAATGAACAAGCAAAATTTAGTCAATTTGCGAGATACATAAATTATATAAAATTTTATATGACATAGGTATAATTTTATATAATTTTTGTATGTTGTATAGGTTTTTTTGTTATCTTCCATTTTGCATTTTTTAACATGTTTACAGTACCTAACCGCTATGAGTCAAACCACGTCAAATGTTTCAATGAATTTTTAATTATTTTTTGGAAAGTAACGATCATGGTAAAAATCGGTGGATACCTAAGTAAAATAACACTTTATTATTTTTATTACTTAAGAATTTTACAACATTTAATAGAAAAATTGATAACTCATACCATCTTCGCAATAATTAAATGCAATTTTTTTACGATGAATTTATTCTACATAAAAATCCTATAAGATCGCACTAAAGTGGTAAATTTTTCCGTAATTTGAAAACATGTGAATGTTTTTAATGGCCATAGTTATTCTAGATGTCCTGAAGTTTAATAAAACGTGAGTCGGATGCCGTTGAGAGGTATTGCATATATTTAAAAATACAAATTTTTGTTTAAAAAGACGAGAAAAATTTAATATTTTTAGTGGATATCAAGGGCGTAGCTACCGCGGTGTCAGCCGTATCAATAATACCGGGCCCCCGACTAGGGTGGGGGGCCCGATTGGCTTCGACATGCATAAGCAAAAAACATATTACCCACAATGTCAAAATTGAGGCATAAAATTAAATAAATAAATAATGTAGAGCGAGAAAAAGGGTGATACAATTTTGGAAAACTTTTCATATGTTCATTTTTTGTGTACCCCATTTTGCTCCCCCCGCTACCTTGTTTTTCTGCTACCATAAAATTAAAAAAACCATAAAATTTGATGTTATCAAACTTTGACCTCGAACAACTCTAGAAGAAATCAATTTATCGAAAAATAATAAGAGAGCTTTTTTGTAGAGCGTTACATTTTATAGAAGAAACTGCAATGATCATTGCCATAAGTTACTTTGATACAGAGGTATAAAATTCCAAACATAAAATTATTTTTTCCCATGTTAATTAAATGGGAAACTAAAATAAAAACAGCCACCTCTTAGAGTTGAGCTGGGACGCCCATATTTGGTGAGGATTTTTTATATTAAATAGAAACATTTGAGAGGGTAAGAGCGAAAAAAAATTAAATTTTATTTTTTGAAGCACCCTACACTGAAAAAAATTTACGAAATTTTACACATCCAAACACACATTTATTTCTGTTTTTTTACTAAAGAAATGTGTTGTTCCATATAAAACATGTACACACATACTTACATAAGTAAAATAGCATCAATTTATGTATTTTTTTAAATTAATATGTAGTTTTTCATATTATTATGTAATAAATCGTTAAATTTATGTGCTTTTACAATTTTTAATGTACTTGTACTATTATTTTCCTAAATTTTACATTTACATGACCTTTGCATTTTTACACATTATATGTAGTTTTATAGTATGTTTGTACATATACATTTAAATACGTGGCATCAAAATAACCAACGATCAGATGTGTAAATTTACTAAATATTTTTTTGAGTGTAGTGTCCATATATGGACTAAGTGATACCAGGAAAACAACCTTAAACTTTTTTTCCATACATCCACCTCTCCTGACTAATGATGTTTTCATTTTTGTCGTAATTTTTTTAAACCGATGGTGGTGTTTTTTCGAAACACCACAATAAGTTAAACCAAATGCAAATGATAGGTTAATGATGATTACGGTCAACAAACATTTATACTATTTATATATACTAAATCAAAAAAACTAATTTAAAAATTATCGGATAATCTTTTTCACCTGGACCGTTCACGCGGGACCCTTTGTGGTGGGGACTGCAGACTAGGTAGCCTAGGCTTAAATCCAGATAAGTGTTTCTAAGGTTC